TCCCTGGCGCGGAGCTTGGCTCCTGACGCGGCCCGCGGAGCTTGGCTCTCGATCGGGGACGCTGCGCACTCGGAGGCCGCGAGGTCCAGACGGGGGAGCATACCGTAGCAGGGGGCCGACTGCCAGGGCCGACGTTGCCCGCTGCGATTTCTCCAGACTCAGCTCCGGCGTCGGCGCTTGGGGCGCCGGTGCGCGACGTGGCGGGCACGACGCCCGTCTCGACGCGGCGCGGCCGTGAGATGCGGGCCGCGGGTTCGCGCGCGTCGATCAATGTTCGGCTGGAGCGCGAGCTGGGCGCTCAGTTGGCGACGTCGTCGTCGGCGTCGTCCTTGGAGCCGGGCACGCAGTCGGGGAAGGCGTCGACGTTGTTGCGGTACTTGCGGAAGTAGCGCTCGTAGATCTTCGCCTTGATCTCCTCGAAGAAGAGGTCGTGGTTGGCCTTGCAGCGCAGCATGGGCGCGATGACCTTGCCCTGGAGCGCCTTGCGCAGCTTGCTCGTGTAGAGGCTGTGGATCGAGAACGACCGCTCCGACACGGCCTCCGTCGCCTCGTCGGCGAAGATCTGCTGCGCCATGGCCGCGTGGACCGGCGCGCGCATGCGGAGCTTGCTGTAGAACTGGAGCGCGCTGAAGTGCTTCTCGCCGTCGAGCCCGGCCTTGAACTCGAAGCGGTCCTTCCTCTCCTTCTTGGGCGTCGACCGGAGCTCGTCGAGCCACGTCATCTCGCAGGCGTCGACGTCCATGGACGCGTCGTCGTCGCTGCTGCCGTCCAGATCGTCGAAGGCCTGGTCCAGGAGCGACTTCTCGCCTTTGCTGCGCTTCGTGCGGTTGCTCTCGACCTCGGAGAGCTTCGTCTTCTCGCCCGCCTGGCGGCCGATGCGCGCGGACGTCTCGAAGTACAACGCGGAGTAGAGCTGCGTGGCCGCCTTGGAGGCGGCGTCGCCGGCGGAGCCGCCGCCGAACACGTCGGAGACCTTGACGAGCGGGTTCATGTGGAGCGCGATCATGTCGCGGTCCGTGACCATGCCCGGGGCGAAGAAGCGCTCCTTCACCTGGCTGATCATGATCGAGATCGCCTCGCGGACCTCCGGGAGCAGATCCTTGGACTCGATCTGCACGAAGGTCTTCGAGTAGACGCCGTCCGAGTTCTTCTTCCACGTGCACGGACCAGGACTTCTTCTCGAGGGAGCGCAGCAGCTGGCGCGCCATGGGCAGCGTGCGGTCCGTCGTCGGCACCGTGCTGTACTGGACGAGTTTGTTGAACTCCTTGACCTTGAGCAACACCGGGAGCATCTGGCGCGCCAGGTTCCACTGCGCCGGCGTCGGCGTGCGCTTCATGAGCTTGGCCTCGTCCATGGCCTTCTTCTTCGACAGCTTCGGCCGCTCGTCGTCGTCGTCGTCCGAAGACGACGAATCCTCGTCGTCGGAAGACACGATGGACGCCGTCTCCTCGACCGCCGCCTCGTCGAGCTCGCCGTCGATGATCTCGTCGCCGCGCAGGTCCGCGTGGGTCTTCTTGAGGGTCATGCGGAGGGCGGGCTCGATCTCGATGGCCCGCTCGAGCATGGTCGCCGCGCCGTCGGCGCGCGTGTCCGCCGGGTTCAGCATGTTGAGCGCCGGCTGGGGCTCCGAGACGATGCCGCACGCGCGCTGGGCCGCCTTCATGGCCTCGTTGAACTTGGTGGACTCCTTGGTCGTGTACAAGGCGAGCTTCTTGAAGACCTTGAACATGGCCTTCAACGCGAGCGGCCGGAGCGCGTAGTGCACGCAGCGCATGCCCTGGTGGAACGCGCAGATGCGGAAGGCGAGCTTGAGGATCTTCATCGCGCGCTTGCCGTTGGCCGCGCCGTCGATCGTCGGCGCGCCGACGTTCTCGATGTCGATGCCGTGGAGCGCGAGGGTGTTGGCGATCCACGTCGCGATGTTCTTGCCCGTGTGGGGGCCCTCGGGAAACTCCTCGTACGCGAGCTGCACGTTCTTGTGCACGAAGCCGCTCTTCTCGTCGTCGACGAAGGACAGGTTGAGCGTCACGTACGCGACGCCGCACGACGTCATCATGTCGAGCTGCCAGCTCACGCAGGCGCCGCCCACGGCGCGGACGTGCGCGCTGATCTTCGCGTCCGCGGCCTCCGTCATGAGCTCGTCCATCACCGCGAGGACCTTGATGGAAGTGTCGCGCGTCGGCGGGACGTAGCCCGGCCGCAGCGACGCCGCGAAGCGCCGCGTCCCCGGCGTCTTCGCCCGGTGGAACGGGACCGCGTCCGTGTAGCACATGGAGACCCAGTCGACGTGGTAGTTGAACGCGTCCTCGAACTTGAGGCGCGTGATCAGGGAGCCGTCGGCCGACACGATGGTCTTGCCGCCGGCCTTGGTCTCGCCGGAGCGGAGCATCATCTTGTACTGCTCCGGGTGGCACCTCTCGATGTGGCCGCTGAGCCGCCCCGTCGACGTGCCGCGCTCGTCGATGAGCATCCGCCCGCACGGCGGGTCCCCGGCCGTGAAGTTGTCGAGGCAGGTCCACTTGTTGACGGCGAGGAGCGACTTGCCGTTGTTCTCCGTGACGTACTTGACCAGCTGCGGCGCCGTGAAGCACACGCGGAAGCCGGACGCCTTGCGCGACGCGGCGAGCGCCTTCTTCTGCCGGACCTCCTCCTTGGTCAGAGGCACGGGGGCCTCCTCGCCGGCCTCGGGCTCGTCCTCGGTCGCCTGCGAGTCCTCCTCGACGGGCGCCGGAGCCGGCGGGTTGGCCGCGAGGTGCGCGGCGTGGTACTCGGACATCATCGTGAGCGCGATCCAGAGGCCCTCCTCCTCGTTGTAGACCGCCGCGTCGTCGATCATCTCGACGCGCACCATCTGCTGCAGCGCCGCGATGCGCGCGATCTTCTTCCGGTCGTCGTACTCCTTGATCACGCACGGGTAGAGCTTGTCCTCGTCGTCCTTGGAGCAGCCGTCCCAGAACTTGCCCATGACGGAGGAGCGCTTGCCGATGAGCGCCGCCATGTCGCTGCCCTTGAGCGACCGCCACTTGCGGAAGCCCTTGAGCGTGTTCACCATGATTTGATTTCAAACGTAGAAGTCGTCTTTTGTTCTCCGGCGAGCTCGGGCAGCGTTTTTCGTTAGCTGTTTTTACGGAAGATATAAATGATGATTGCACTTTTTTGTAATAAATGTGCGCACTACAGGCTTCGAGAGCGTACGGGGACGCAGCGTCGACGCCGTCCTCGCGGCCCCGTGGCCGACGGACGGCAACTCTTCTCTGGTTTTCGGACGGGCGTCGTCACCGGCACCGTAACCGGACGGCCCCGGATCTCACCGTAACCGGAACCGTCCTAGAGCCCCAATAACCGTGTAAAAACCGTAACCGTACCGGAACCGTCACCGCGTCGACGGGGGGGCTGACCGTAACCGTACCGAAGCCGGTTTTTTACGGTTTTCGGTTACTAACCCTAACCGAAGTGCTCCCTGCTTCACGTGCGACGGCGCCAACGCGACGGCCTGCGCCGTCGACAAGTACGTCGACGACAACGAGTGCCTCGAGTGCCCGACCGGCTTCACGTGCGACGGCGCCAACGCGACGGAGTGCGCCGTCGACAAGTACGTCGAGAACAACGTCTGCCTCGAGTGCCCCGCCAACGCCACGTGCGACGGCGTCGACGCCGTGTGCGACTACGTCAACAAGTACGTCGACAACAACGAGTGCCTCGAGTGCCCGACCGGCTTCACGTGCGACGGCGCCAACGCGACGGAGTGCGACGACCTCAAGTACGTCGACGACAACGAGTGCCTCGAGTGCCCGGCCAGCGCGACGTGCGACGGCATCGACGCGACGTACTCTCCGACGGACGACGACCTCAGGACCGCGGTCGGCGAGTGGCTCGACAATTCGACGAGCGCGGAGGCCAAATACACGCACATCAGCGAATGGGACACGTCGGAGGTCACGGACATGTCCCTACAGTTTTGCGTGCGGCAGGGCTGGATGGACGGGCGCGCTGACTGGGCGGACTGTACAAGCACGGACGAGACGTTCAACGCGGACATCGGCGATTGGGACACGTCTAAGGTGACGGACATGACACGAACCTTCGGATACGCGGCCACCTTCAACCAGGACGTCGGCGCCTGGGACACGTCGAAGGTGACGAACTTGCGCTACGCGTTCCGCGACGCCGCCGCTTTCGACCAGGACATCGGCAACTGGGACACGTCCAAGGTGACGACCATGGACAGCGCGTTCTACGAAGCCTCCACCTTTAACGCGCCCATCGGAGGCTGGGACACGTCGTCGGTGACGACCCTTTACGGAACGTTCAAGGACGCCGCCGCCTTCAACGCGGACATTGGCGACTGGGACACGTCCAAGGTGACAACCATGAGCAGCACGTTCTGGGACGCTCCCACCTTCAACAGACCCATCGGCGACTGGGACGTGTCGTCGGTGACGCGTATGTCCGCGACGTTCTTCAACAACGCGTTGAAGTCCGCCTTCAACGCGAACATCAAAGGTTGGGATGTGTCGAAGGTGACCGACATCGACTCCCTGTTCCGAGGCGCCTCCGCCTTCAACGCGGACATCAGCGACTGGGACACGTCGAAGGTGACGAGAACATACGGGACGTTTGGACCCGCCGCCGCCTTCAACCAACCCATCGGCGACTGGGACGTGTCGAAGGTGTTTTATACACAAGATATGTTGAACACTGCCGTCGCTTTCAATCAGCCCATTGGCGCCTGGGATGTGGCAAAGGCGGCGGACATGCGCTGGATGTTTATTAACGCCGTTGCTTTCAATCAGGACATCGGCGACTGGGACGTGTCGAAGAATGGCAACATGAACAGTATGTTCAAAAACGCCTCCGCCTTCAGCCAGGACATCGACGCCTGGGACGCGTCGCAGGTGTCTGATATGGGGGACGCGTTCGTTGACTCAGGTCTTCAGTCGTGCCCGGACTGGGCCAAGTTCATTTACAACGCAGGAGGCCCTTGCGCCTGGAAATAAATCTGAGTGCAATATTAAGAAGATCATAGACTGGGAGGCCAAGCTTCTTTCGCGCCCATGGAGCCTTTGCACCGCACTCTCCAGATCTAGAGCAGCGACAAAGCACGAGCGCGCGCGCGCGTGACATTTAGCCCACGTTGATCATGCATTCCAGAGCATGTTGCTGTGAAGCTCTGAGCAGTATTGCAATGAGCGCGCGCAATGCGCGGCGCACGCTCTCGTAATCCACGCTAGCGACCTGCAACGACAACCACCATGTCCGCTCGCTTCCACCGCTTCGCGGACTTTGCGCCGGACGACGTCGAGTGGTGGCAGGGCGAGGCGGGCCTGCTCGAGTCCTACGTCGGCGAGTGGCTGCCGGCGGTCGTGCGCGTGCGCCAGGGCCGCGTGCGCGTCGAGGCGCCCGTGACCGGCGCCGAGAGCGCCGTCCGCGTGCTCCGCGACTTCCGCATCGGCGGGGCCTGCGCCGCGCGCGCGGACGGCTGGCGGCTCTTCGGCGGAGGGTTCGCCGCGGCCGTCGTCGCGGCCGACGCCGCGGCGCACCTGCGCTTCCCCGCGGCGGCGGCGCGCGACGCCTTCGTCGCCGCGGTGTCGTCCTGCGCGGCGACGGCGCGCGTCGGGTCCGGCTACCGCTTCGGCGCGGTGCTGGGCCGCGGCGCGCAGGGCGTCGTGCGCCTCGTCGCGGGCGAGGACGGCGCGCGGCGCGCGGGCAAGGCGCTGCCGTTCCGCACGTCCAAGGAGAAGCGCGTCGCCTGCCGCGAGTTCGAGCTCATGCGCCGCGTCGGCCGCGAGTGCGCGACGGCCCACGTCGTGCGGCTCCTCGAGGCCTTCGAGTGCGACGCGGGAGGTCCCAAGTGCGTCCTCGTCCTCGAGCTCTGCAGCGGCGGCGACCTCTACAGCCGCATCGTCGAGCGGGGCACCTACTCCGAGGCCGCCTGCGCGGGCGCCGTGCGCCAGGTCCTGGGGGGCCTCGGCGCGCTCCACGGCGCCGGCCAGGGCAGCACAAGAGAGCGAAATTCCCAACTTCAAAGGCTCATATCTCGGCCATTTTCCACTCGTTTCGGCTGACTTTTTGGACGAGCGATCATCTCTCGGAACGGTCTCGAAGCGTGGATGCTTTTTCCGTAACGCGCGCGCGCGGAACACTCACGTTGAAACGACGTTGAATCACTCTTGCGCTGCCCAGGCGCCGGCGTCGTCCACCTCGACGTGAAGCCGGCGAACCTCCTCTACGCGTCCCTGGCCCGCGGCGCGCCGCTAAAGATCGTCGACTTTGGGCTCGCGGCGTCCGTGGAGGACACGGGCGACGAGCCCCGGCCCTGGGTGCTCCGGGGCACGCCGGGCTACATGGCGCCCGAGCTCGTCACCGACGGCGCCGCCACCCCCAAGTGCGACGTCTTCGCGCTCGGCGTCGTCGCGCACGCGCTCCTCACGGGGCGCGAGCCCTTCTGCCTCGACCGCAAGGCGACGGCGCGCGAGATCTTCGCCTGCACGGCCCAGTGCCGCGTCGCGTACGACAACGAGGACTGGGTCGGCATCTCGACGGCCGCGAAGCTCTTCGTCGCCGAGACGCTCGAGCGGAACCCGAAGCACCGGCCCGACGTCGGTGCGCTCCTGGAGCACGCCTGGCTCGCCGCGGCGCCGGCGCGCGGCGGCGCCGCGAGCCCCGGGCCGGCGCCGGACGCGGCGCCCGCGCCGCGGCGGTCGCTCGACCGCGCGCGCGCGCGGCTGTCGTGCCTCGCGGCGGACCGCGTCGGCGCGCGGCGGAGCTCGCGGGGCGGCGCGAGCGACGCCGGCGCCGGCGACCGCGACGCCGTCGAGACGCTCCTGGAAGGGGTCGACGCGGACGCGGCGTGGTTCGACGCTGTGTGCAAATCAACCAGTGAGCTGGGACGTCGGGGCCAAACTTGAGAATTCTCTAGCTCGGTCAAATCGAAGTCGATTCGGCTGATTTTTGGACGGATCGATCGCTCTCGTCGAGTTCT